ATCATTTTGTCATTTTGTTTGGTGACTTTTTTCTTGTCATTTCCATTCTTCCATTAAGCCTTTTTGTTTTGGTTGTTTTATCTTTTAATTCTAAAATGTCTGTTGGTTCTTCTTTATCTATTTCTTTGCTGAGACTTTCTATTTCTTCACTGAAGATTTCTGATTTTTCATTTATTTCAAGCATGTTTGTATTGCTCGTTGAAGCATTTCTATAATGCCTGCTTTCAAATCTTTGTTAAATAATTCTAACATCTGTCAACTTGATGTTCGGTTTATCTTTTTCTGTCAGTTTGAGATCTTCCTGGTTCTTTGATGAGGGGTTTTTCCAACTGAAATCTGGACATTTTTGTATTACGTAATGAGGCTTTAAATTTTTATTTACATCTTCTCTCTTTCTCTCTTGGGTACGACCTCTCACCGCCAGTGGAGGTAAAAGTCCGTTTTTCTTACGTGGCCTCTAATAACACATGAGAGGGGTTCTTCTGTTGTGGCTGGGTGGGGATCAGAATGTCCCAGCCCGTTTCCCCCATGGTCTCCAGACACCGTCCCGGGGTGCAGAAGAGATCTCGTTACCCAGCCAGCAGGGATGATGATCCCAGTTCCCTCCTTGGTCTTCTCTGACACCACCTCTGTGCAGGTGTTGCTGTGCCTAGCAAGGATGGCAGTTTGGGTTCCCCGTTCCACCTTCGCTGTCATGGGTGTGGTTTGGGCCGTAATTGTTGCTGTGTTGCTTGGCTAGAGTAGAGTGGTTGTTGTGTAAGAGTTCTCCCTCTTGCTGGGCTGCCCCTCTCGTGGCCCTGTGGCGAGAGAGAGCAGGTTTTGTTGCAGGCTTTTTTTTTTCCTTTTACATCCGTTGGCATTTCCAGGTTGCCGGCTTGCTCTGCTCTAAGTCTGGGGTGTAATGAGGCAAAAGGAAAGCCAGGGAATTTACCACCATAGCCTTCCTTAGGCCCATCTGCTTTCTCTCCACCTTTTAGAGTCTTCCTCTGTTTCTTTTATATGTAATGTATCGGGTTTTTAGTTGTACTTAGTGAGAGAAGTAGGGGAAAGTACTTCTCCTCCATCTTCCTGGAAGCAGAAGTCCACGCTGGCCTTAAGGGAAATTTTTTGCACATCAAATGCTATATCAGACAGGTTGTTTTTGTGGCCCCTTCCCTCCCCACAGCCCTGTGGAGGTTGTATCCCACTCCCTTTGTAATTGAGATACCTAGATTATAGGGAATTTTTCCTTTCTGTCTAATTACCTTTACAGTGATTGTCTTTATTCTGTAGTTTCATCTTTATATATTTATATGTAGTTTATTTATTCTTCTCATGGTTCAACGTTATCCTTGATTCTAACAATTCTTTAATTTTAATTCTATAAAATTCTCAGCCATTATTTCTTTTAAAATTGGCTCTCTTGCCAGGCACAGTGGCTTATCCCTGTAATTCCAGCACTTTGGGAGGCTGAGGCAGAAGGATTGCTTGAGCCCAGGAGTTCAAGAGCAGCCTGGGCAACATAGTGAGATCTTGTCTCTACAAAAAACAAAACAAAGTTAGCTGAGTGTGGTGACGTTGCCCATAGTCCCAGCTACTGAGGAGGCTGCGGTGGGAAGATCGCTTAAGCCCAGGAATTTGAAGCTTTGGTAAGCTGTGATTGTGCCACTGCACTGTAGCCTGGGCAACAGAGTGAGACCCCAACTCAAAAAAGAAAAGATTTTTAAAATTGGCTTTCTACCCTCATTATCTTATTTTTAAAATTCCAAAGTTCCTATTAAACCTATGTTAAAACGTTTCTTTCAGTTTTCCATGTATCTTAAAATCTTTTTTTTTTTTTTAATGTTCTGTCTTCAACTCTCTGTACTGCCCCCGGTAATTTCTTCCAGTTTCTATTCTAGTTCATTGAATTCTCCCTTCAGTTTTGTTCATTTCGCTCTTTAACCTATCTATTGAGTAATTAATTTTAATTACTATGATTTTTATTTCTAGGCATTCTAGAGTCTAGAAAACTATCCATTTCAAGCCATCCTTTTCTTTTTTAAGAATTCAATTCCTAGGGCTGGGCTTGGTGGCTCAACCTGTCATCCTAGCACTTGGGGAGGCCGAGGTGAGTGGATCGCCTGAGCCCACGGGTTCAAGACCTGCAGGGGCAGCTTGGCCAGATCTCGTCTCTACAATAAATCAAAAATGAGCTGGGTGTAGTAGTACATGCCTGTAGTTCTGGCTACTTGGAAGGCTGAAGTGGAAGGATCCCTGGAGCCCAGCAGGTTGAGGCTGCGGTGGCCGGGAACATGCCACTGCAGTCCAGTCTGGGTGACAGAGTGAGACTCCAACTCAAGAAAAAAAAAAATTCAATTCTTTTTTTATGGTATTGAGCGTCTTTTTTTTTTTGAGTTGGAGTCTCATTCTCCCCAGGCTGGAGTGCCGTGGCACACTCATGACCACCCCAGAGTAGACCTGCTGAGCTCCGGCGATCCTTCCACCTCCGCCTTCCAAGTAGCTGGAACTACAGG